TTCTAGAAGTTCATGACGTGTGTACTAGCGTCACGTGACTTCCGCTGTCGTAACAGTATTTTTAATTTTAACATGAAAATAACTTTGCACTTAAACTAGTGAGACTGGTTGCATAGATTCAAAAACATATCTTAGTAAAAAGATGTACTTAAAAATCGGATTTATTGTGTATAATAGTTTTGCGATGTTTTAGTAAATATAAACTTAATACATGTCAGTCAACATAACCGAGACCGTATAAAATCGTAAAGTTTGAGTAGTAAGGCCACACCCATTGGTTAATTTAATTTTTACGTGTTTACTTTAAATATTTTTAGTAAATTTATATGTTTGACAGATAAGAAAAAATCAAAAGTGCCAACTGACGTTGTCCGGTCTTGAACCAATAAACTTCGATGCAATTTGAAAATTGAAAAAAAGGCTCATGTAAAATTAAAAATATAAACCACATAAGACAATTTAAGTAATTGGGTTTATTTTATTTGATATAGATATTAATATACTGAAATAAAATATTGAAAAATATTGTATATCTAGATTTGATACAAAAATATTTGTTTTTTCTGTGCTGCTGTGGTGAACGTATCAGATTTATAGCCATGTTCGATAACTTCGGTATATGCACATTTGAATAGTTTGTAACTATTATGTAGAATTATACGTATAACCTAGTTAAACAGTCGTTATATTAATGCTAAGATAATTTTTTTTTATATAAATTGTTTTCGTAAGCAAAGCCTACATCAGTCGCTTTGATTATCATACCTGTAACAGAGGCTCAGAAGAAGAAAAAGAGTACTACCCTTAACGATAAAGAAGGACGACTGGAAACCTTCATTAATCGTATTCGAATGTACAATAACGAGAAGGTTAACATTCCAAAAGTAAAATGTCATTGTACTATCATCAGTAAGTAGACTAAATCTCCAAAAGTATTAAAATGTAAGTCCATTTTCAAGTAAGGGGAAGCTGATATTTAACTAATGATTAGTAAAGAGATGACTTACAAATTAAAGCTAAAATGACCAAAAACACATTGATCTTAAGTTCTCAATAAAATGCTCCTCAATAGAAAGCATACGGTTCTAGGAATAAATGTGATTAAACAGGGCTAGTTATGAATATCCTTGCAATATAAGAAGATATCTCTAACAACCTGTCGTTAGTGAACATACAATCTAACATATAGAAGCAAGAATGCCAGAAGAATATTTAAGTAAACATTATGTTAAAGTCATCAAGAGAAATAAATAGTTTAATTCTATAAAAATAGTTTTCAACGAGTAAATTTCAAACCAGGAGAAAAGTGCTATACGTTTGTGTATTTTAGCAATTAAAGAAAATAGATAAAGTATCCTTGTAGCGTTTGAAGCAGTTAAGACCCTACTAAATATATCATACATGCATAGAATATCAGCATAAAGAATATAGACACTGATTATGAGTCACATTTCTGGAGCATTTAAAAATGTCAGGAAAGAAAATTGCATTTACCTAAAAAGGTACGGGAGATTCCTAATAAGTTAAGATACATCAGACAAATACCACACCAAAAAAAAATTAAAATCATATTTAATACAAGGATAGGGAAACGATAATAAAATACAAGGACCATTTCTATAAGTAAATCTAACAAAGTTCTGAATATCTTAGGTTATGAGAACTTCCAATAAATTGGTCATGCAGGTTTTGCTTTGTTTAATGTTAGGTAAAAAGCAGAGGTACAATGGAAAACTAACTGACAACACGGTGAGTTAAAATATTTCATGAAACAAGATAAATAAACATATAAAACGATGAAAAATAATTTACATTGATTTCTTGCCTTGAGAAACAGAAAATAATGGTGACCACAGATTCCTAGGAAAGCAGATAATATCATACACAGATGAACTCAGAAGATGTAAATCAAAATATTTGTAATTATCTTTATTGACCCAAACTCTAGAATCATTCTGGGATTTGGGTTTAAACATAACAGAAGAAATTCAGAAACTCATTATACGTAAGCAATGGATACACAACCAGAAATGTCTGAGTGATAAAGGAGATTTACAGAAGTAGAGACTTTATCGCTAAAACCTAGTTCAACATTTAGGATTGGTAAAATTTGCCTAAACAGTGAGAATGTGTTAAAACTGATGTTGGAGATGGTGGTTTCCATGTTGAACGGGATGCAGATGATTCATGTTTTGGAACCGATCGTGAATCAAATCAAAATTGAACAGAGTATTTTTGTGAGCATAATTTTGTCGATTCATCTCGACAGGTACTAAGTAATGATGCATCGTCTCAATTCAGCAGAATTCGAAATACTTTTTTTTGGGGGGTGGGGGGTAGTTGGGTTTCAGGAGCCTTTTCAAAGGATCTTAGTCACTGTTAACTTAACAGCTTACCTGATAATATCGGTGGTGTTTAAAAACAGATTAATTTTCGTAATTACCAGTCATTGAATCGAACAACCAGAATATTGGGAACTTATTAACAAAAAAAAGGCATTAAGACCTGTACTGGTCGTATATAGCCCATAATTTAACAACACAGCATTTCAAGAGAAACTTAGTCGCCACTGGGTAACGCTAGAGCAGCAGTGTTTCTAGGATTTTTATTGAGGGGTCATATAGGGCAAACAAGTTGTTTTGGGGCAGAAGAAATTATTACTTTCATGTGGGTGGAAGCTACAATTTTAAAACACTGTGTTTCAGATGGGGGGTTGCTGAGGGGAGCAAAGCTCTTCAATGGGGGAGAGTCTGCCGGTTTGCACAGACATGGCTACATCTCAAGTTTCACTTCGGACTGCAAGTCATTGTTCTTGCACTGAAGGGGAAACTTACAGTTCTGACATAGGAAACGTATTGCACATTGACAGCATTTAGTATAAATCACTCAGGATAAACCATCTACATATTCAAATGGCTTTAGTTGCATGTGTTATATTATATTACGGTACATTAAAATGTTTGGTCCTAGTTTATTAAAACAAGCGAGTCCCATTCAGATAAACATCTACATGAAAAAATGGTGATGAGCGGCTATTTTTACTGATATTCTCTCTTGCTGATTTTTGCAGCCATCCCTTTAATAAATTTTCGCATAAAATATTTGTTTGGTTGTTTGTAATTAAGCATAAAGCTACACAATGGGCTATCTGTGCTCTGCCCACCACGGGTATCGAAACCCTAATTCTAGCGTTGTAAGTTCGCAGACATACCACTGTGCCAATGGAGGCCGCATAAAATAACTCTTATACAATAAATAATTTTGCGCTAACTGTTAAATTGTGTACGGCAAATGACGGTAAGTTTACTTATTTAGTTATTGATGTTAAATTATTTTTTCTCTTTTTGAATTTATATACATAATTATAACCAGAAAGTAGAATTTGCCGTACGCGATCTAAACTTGAACGTATTTTAGCTCTCTTCGCTATAGATACTGTGTTATCTGATAAAATAAGTATCTTTCCGATGTAACATATAGTTTCTTTCTGTACTAAATTTGATACGAATAAATTCCAGTTTTGTTTTTATATTACTTTCTAGCTTATTTTATAACCACCGTTTATGATTACTTTGAATATAAATTGTAATTATGGTTCAAGTTAGTGTAGAAAACCGAGATTATTGATCAGAAACCAATGTAAATACCAATTATTTACGTGTGTATAGGAGGCGCTTCCATGGCCCTATCATAACAAATATGTTTTGGAACAGGTTATTAAATTCTATCTTACACAAAATATAATGGAAAAGGTTCCATTTAACTTTCATATAGGTCTAAGCCGATGCTATTTATTTACAAAATCTATTAAGTTGACTTTAAGATGTTTAGTTTAATGAAACTTACAAAATTGTAATTTTTTACCACAATCCACATATATTGAGTAATGACGTCAACAGTAACCAATACAGACAGAGGCTAAATTTGAAAAAATGTCACTACATTCTTCGTTATAAACTAGGTGGATAACAAACACATTTTACACTAATTGATGTATACACTTAACATAATTCGCCTTTAAAAAGTATGCTCAAAGGGCATATAAATTACAAAACTTAATACTTTATATGCATATTCAATATACTTCAGGTATAACAAGTTTTAATGAACATTTTTCATGGAGGAATGCTCTAACTAACTTGATTAGAGCTATTCGGAGAAGCTGTAATTTTAGCTATCAGTATTTTATTTGCCGTAAGTCATTATATTTTTCAGCTGAGAATGAACTATTTTGTGGATCGATTCCGATGATTTCTATATAAAGAAATAAAATAAAAAATGCAAGAGCTTTAGAATTAGTTCATTTGTTCAGAAGTTAATTTTGAAAAATTAGATAAAATAGCGAAAAAGAAATGCATGAAAAGAACGTCGTGAAGATGAAGTAAATTGGATATTTGATTAAAAAGGAGAGCCTGAACAAATTTGTCAAACATATTTATATATATATTGAGAGAATAGAATTCTAATTTATTACGCTTGTAGTATTCTTAACCAAATTTTTCTTAAATACAAAATAACTTACCTATACTATATTCACGTGAGGTAATTTCGATAGAAGTGGAGGCAAAACAGTGTTTGTAAACTTGGTAAGCCAAAGCCAGTAGAAAGCCAATTCCCAACATAGTCATTGCATAAAACCACGGGAAAACTAACAACCCCTTCTGTTTCTATATAAGAAAGCATAGCTATTTAACGTCCGAACATTTAGAAACATTCAGATTCTTCAAAGTACTTACCTTCTCGACATTTTATTTTTTGCAGCATATTGAAGAAATTGATAATATTCTTAGTTGATAATTAGTACTATTTTGTTAGCCCTTGTCAAATAATTTCAATGCGTTTACAAATGATTATTGAAATAGGTGAAACAAATCAAGCAAGTCTCCCCCTTTTTTATTTTCAAAATAATTGCACTAAGAAAAAGTTTTTATGTATTTTAATTAATAAACATACAAGTTGATATGTCACAGTACATTAATATTAAAAATTTGAAGTGATAATTACCAGAAACGCCTGGTAACAAGGGTGAATTGTGGGATAATATATGGTATTAACTGAAAAAATAAAAATATAAAATTTCCGAAATACAAAAATAAATAAAGGTCATAACTTTGGGAGATACCCAAGATAATTACTATTATGAAACCTAAAACTAACCTCGAAATCAAAGGACAATGAGATCACCGTAAGAGCAGTCCCAATATTTTGAATTCCCGATTCTATTCCAATAGTGCGGCAAGTCGATGAAGGGCGCTTTATTAACCAGCTAATTGTAAAACCAAAAATAATTCCCAAAAGTGGTTGTAAAGCGCTGGTAACATATACTTGCCACGTAATATCTTCAAACAAGTCGGGAAAAATAAACACCTCCATCACTTGAGCAGCTGTTATACCTGCAAAGCCTACTGTACTGCCAATCTGCAAACAAAAAATTTAGTTTAATTGAAGCAACCCTGTTTCAAAATCGAAGTTCTTTACACCCATTGAAATTAGTAAAAAATTTGGGAACAATAACGACACAATTTCGCTTCAGCTCAAAGATATGAGCGAACGCATACAGTATTGATTTAGGATATTGTTGTAATTTGTGGTTCGATTTGTTTCAGATATTTACATAAAGCTACATAACAGTTACCTGCAATAGCCGTTCCTGATTTTGAAATGAAAGATGAGACGAAAGGAAGCTAGCTAACAGCATCCACCGCCAATTCTTGTGCTACCATGATCGAATAACGAAATTTGGCTGTCATTCTTATAATGCACCTAAGGTCCAAAAGTGCTTAACGAGATTTGCGGCAAAGGCGGGAAGCCATGGACCCTCGGTTTCGTAGTGCGGCACGTAACCACTAGATCACGCCCATCTTTTTTTTTATCATTGTAATATAAAGACTTTTCTGATATTTTTTATCTTAGAATTTTGGTACACTAAAACATATTAATTTGACCGGTGTAGCATACCACTGAGGTCTAGACACATTTGTTTCAGACAACTGTTATTAAAGTTGAAGCTGTAGAATAACAACAACTAAACTTTGATACGTACTGGGTAATAAGGGAGAAAAAATATATAGAGAGTACCTGTTGCCTCCTAGACCCTTGTCCTTGCGAGAGTTAAAAATTGAAAATAATGTCGGATATATCCTATTTTACTTTCTACCTTTATATATCCCAAAAGAAGTTCATTTTTAAATATACACATAGATACTTTGTATTTTTCAACATTAATGGCACTTTATGTAGGGCATGGGTTAAGTGTACAGATGAGAGACTCCAAGACTCAGAAAGAGATGTTCCTAATTTTGAACTACTGACCAATTAGTAAAATTAAATTTAGACGCAATTATCTGTGTGCATATTTTACGAAGGTCTATATGAGAATGCACAACTGTTTTAATGGATTTTGCACCTGCTACCCAGCCTGAATGCACCTCATTTTTACTTTTAGACCTTTCGCCGATTTTTCATTACGTTAATTGCTTTAGTGTTGGTTATTGTTACCGTATGATTGTGTAACTATGTTACCTATTAATGGTAGGCACATATTTTTGGTAAAGAGACTGTCAAAGCTTTTCAAATGTAGAAAACACAGAGTCATACGACAGATCGTGTTGGTTTGTTCTATTCAGGTTCAGATTTCGTCAAAAGAAAAACCAAATGTTCTCAAAAAACACAAGTTTGGGACTGGCGAACAATAAATTGAGTACGGCCAGCGAAGGAAAACAACCAAACATCATGACGTATGGTAGGTGGTCATCCCTATTAGTTTGGTCAAAGCTAACAAACGTAAAAAAACATATGCTTGACTGTCAAAATATCGGATTGAAGATGATGTGGTAAAATGTATGCATCTTCACAACTTCTAACACTCGATAAAAACAATACAAAGCTAGATACGGATCTCTCCAGACGCACCAACGCATGAAGTTCATTGTTCAGCCACAATCTGTGATTGACTGCACTAATGTGTCAGCCCATGTATAAGTTTCAGCCCACTTGGTGAAGTAATTGGTAACAACCAGGACATACTGATTAACTTTTTAATTTTTTGGGCAGAGGACCAGAAGTATCCAATGTAATTCTCTCCAGACAACCTGCTACTCTATTTTTTTATGTTTTCATGACATGGTTGGTTTTTCCTCTGGGCGTTAAACTCAGTACAGTGTTTATATTATCACTTAACATATTTATGTTAATGTGTCCCTATAGATACATCACCTCTGCTTCTGGTACCATGCCAACCACCATTTCAGCTGGACCTGAATAGCTGAATGTCCATAGTTACAGACTAAAACTAGTACAATACCCATTCTCAAATAGATCACTGTTCGAGCCAGTGTACCATGCCTTTAAGACAGAAAATGTGTACTTCATGTGTTGGTTTTATCACTGCAGAAGATGATGAAAATGCACAAGGATAGTATTTACACATTGCGGCGAACTATTACATCCTATTTAATGTACATAAATGTAGTCCACTGTTCTCAGGTCCAGTCTGGTTGTCACTGGATGTTTTTGTTGCAGAACTGCAGCTCACCTTTTGTACAAGCAAAACTAGTTGACAATTTCTAAAGTAGGTCCATTCCTAAGATATCAATTATCTTTGCTTTGCATGCGGTGTTGCTAAAACGGAGTCAGAAACACACCTCTCCACTCATGTCTAGCTTTTTACCATTTGACAGAATGAAATTCATATTAGCTGGCCAAAGTAGTAGATTAACACAAACAGCCTGATACACAGCAAGATTAAGTAAGGTTCTGTTGCTGCAGTGTTCACTATAAGCTCAGCCTTGCACCCATGTATTATTATTAACACATTTCACGTGTCACCCAGTCCTTGGTTCACCTGACCAGCCGCCAGGGGATTAGGAATGAGTTGTTCTTGGGCAGGTCAAACTCAGGCTGTATTAGTTTAATTAAAGGGCAGTTGTTACTGGAACCATTGCTCATTGCCAACATTCTAGCATCTATTGGGTTGTTAACACGAAAGGTATGAGCGTGTGATAGACCTGTCGTACAACAGGATGTGGACATTCCTGTAATCAGTAATCAGGCATGGCACAGATGAGGCAGGCATTTTTTCCCTCATGCTCATGACACTTTGGGAGTATAACTTCAGCTGACATACATTATACAAATATTGTTTTATAATAGCCAAAACTATTAAAATAGTTTGAACTATTGGATCTTTATGTATCTGTTCATTCGGTTGTTAAATTTTATTTTAGTTTCACTTAATTTTTTTTCTGACAAATTTATCAAAAGTATTTTGCTAGTATATATATATATTATTTCTCACTGTTTTTCGTGCCTTTATTTGATAATTCTCGACATAACCATTTTATATGGATCTATTTTAAGCCTGTGCCAGTATACATTATACAAATATTACTATTAAAATATTCCGAACTACAAGACTCCTCACGTTACCTTGGTAAAATAGGGAGCTACTTTTGGAAGTTTCCACCGCACCAACATTCCAGCTGCTACAGGTGATGTGATGTATATTAAAGACAAAAGTATGTTGACGTAAGGAATAACAACATCGTCCGTTGCTATGTTGTTTCCGTACATAAATATGTTCAATGGCATCATACCAAGCGCTATCATAGTGGACCAAGTTGTCATGGCAACGCTAGTAAAATTAAAATAGGTTACGTGGGAAATTGTCGAACAAATTTCAAATTCCTATAACACTCTATTTCTGTGATATTAACTATAGATTATTAAAAACAATTAATTAAGGTTTCAAAATGTTGCATCTTTTAAAAACAAATATTTAAATGTAAGAGATAACTAAAGAAAAAATTAACCAACAGCTGAGAACAATTCTTTTAACTGTGTTTATTGTATGTATTAAACACGTAGAAATATTTTGTGCACATATAACGTTAAGAAATGTTTTAAATCATAACTGCATGGTTCATAAAATAGATTTAACGTTTTCAGTTATGAACTAACTTACAATATTTTATAACTTTCAGACTGTTTTGATTTATTTACATTTTTTTTTGTTGTTTAAGCAGATAAACTTATCAAAACATCTTCAAAACTGGAAACTATTAAATGCATAACTTGAAAACATTATACATGTGTAAACATAAGTAAAGTGTTATTTACCTTAAGGGTACATCACCTGAGCAGAAGTAAGTCAATACATTGGAAACAGCGCCACCTGGACACGTAGACACGATTAACACTCCTGTGGCATGTATAGGTGAAATAGAGAGTAATTTCACTAAAGTAAACCCCGTTAACGGCATAATAACAAATTGGCAGATCATCCCGATAATTAAACTTACAGGCCTTCTAATATGACTCCATAACTAAAGAAATAAAGAAAACTATTACATATATGTAGTTATATTGGTACACTTCAATTCCCAATAAAACGTGTCATGTTATTCAACAACAACAACAACAAAAAAAACTGACTAATTGGGTATTTACGAAAAAATATTATATACCCAACGTAATATCCTCAGTAGGTAACTTGCCAACACCACTCTAAATCAAGTACTGATCTAATACCTCGGATCAGAATATAGGGTGATCTATATTAACAACAGATTGCACCAATTGCAATTTATTTAAAATCCTCCCTTTACAACTGTTACGTCTCCGTTCGTTAATTAACTTTCCGTAACTTCGTTCCGACGAAACTTTAGCGACACAAGTCTTTACTTAATAAAACTGGTTTATTCTTTCCGAATACAACTTTACGATACACTTATTTTCAACAGTCGCTCTATAACAAACGCTATATCAACGAACGTCAACAATACTTCTGACTGCAGTTCAATTACTCACTATCTACACACACATTATTGTCTCGTCACGTTGTCACCCTCTTTTATATACCAGACTACCCTATATCCAGTAAATGCTAGAGCATTCGCCAAGGTACAGGATAGTTCTAGAAACGTGGCGTGACACTAGTCATGTGACTTCGCTGACTTCGTTTGTTTTTGAGTTTCGCGCAAAGCTACACGAAGGCTATCTGCGCTAGCCGTCCCTAATTTAGCAGTGTAAGACTAAAAGGAAGGCAGCTAGTCGTCACCACCCACCGCCAACTCTTGGGCTACTCTTTTTACCAACGAATAGTGCGATTGACCGTCACTTATAACGCCCCCACGGCTGAAAGGGCGAGCATGTTTGGTGGGACGGGGATTCAAACCCGCGACTCTCAGACTGCAAGTCGAATGCTCTAATCACCTGGCCATGCCGGGCTCTTAAGAAGGATGTTTAATAAATAACTATAAAGCTATAAGTTCTCTTTATTAATTAAGCATGCAGATTTAGTTGGATTGAGTTCTTTGCTAAACCTAAAAAGCAACATCAAGAGAACGTTACAGCAGTTTCCTTTTCCACTCAATTAAGACTCAGACAAAATTCGAGGTTCGATTCCCCGTAGTGGACAGAGCGCAAGTAGCTCACTGTGTAGTTTTGCGCTAGAACACATAAAGAATCTGAAGAAACTTTGACTTGTACTGTCACCTGGTGAACAAACGAACTTCTTCCTTTTCATAGGTAAAAAGGAAGAAGTTGAGAAACATTACTCAATTTAATAGTTCTCACAACAACTCATATTTGCATGAAATGTAATTAAGGGGTAAGGTAAACCATCCACTGTTAAACAACTTACCTACATTTTTCAGAAATCTTAGCGGGTGGATTACTTATATATCTTTAAGTATAACTGGATATACCGAGTTTACCTATACTAACGCCCCAAAACTAGTGATAACGGATGGAATATTATTCATAATTTAACATTCGTGAGCTAATAAAGGTTCTAAAGCAAAAACTAACAAGCAATTTTCTTATTCATGTATATACATTGTACATACAAGCGGTTACTTTGTATTTTGTTGTGAATTTGGCGCAAAGCTACACGCTAGCCGTCTTTAGTTTAGTAGGGATAGACAAGGGAGAACACCACCCACCGCCAACTCTTGGACTATTCTCTTAACAGCGGCTGAAAAGGCGAGCACATTCGGTAAGAAGGATTTGAACCTATGATGTGCAGATTGCAAGTCGAACGCTCTAACCACCAGACCACAAATGATTATTAAATCACCCAAAGTCAGACTTAAATCGTTTAATAACTTGTAGAGTTCTCTATCAGATTTTTATTTTCTATATATATCGATACATGGAGTAGAGCTAATGATCTGTTATTTTAAATATTTTCATTGTTTTTTTTGTGTTTTTTTTCAAATTTTACAAATAGCCTGGTAAAATACACGTGTCCTTTCGAATACCTTAAAACATAGAAAAATATTACTGTACTTAGGCCTAACTAATGATAAACAGAAAAACTTCAGAGAAAAGAGCTCAATAATGATTAAAGAAAGGAGGAAACAAAAACGAATGATGTACCGAATATAAAACTATCAGTAAACCAACTACACTAACATTAACTCAAAGTCTGTGGTCAAAAAACCGTGAGGCATCATCCTTTCATATATTAATACATAACGTTTTAGGCATAACAATGTAACTGCGACTAATTTTATTAGCATAAGAATAAAACTGCGACTAGTTATCAGCATAATAATATAACTGCGAATAGTGTTATTAGTATAGGAATGTAACTTCAATTAGTGTTAGTATGAGAAAATAACTGAGATTAGTTTTATTAGCATAAAAATGTAACTGCGAATAGTTATATTACCCTGAATTTAAAACAGCAGACATGCCACAAGTCCGATATACGATTAATACAAGAAAAAATATATATAAAATATAGATAGATAGATATGACGAAAGAATGCACTTTCTTTTTAACAATTCGCACACTTTATTTCTGAACTATTTCTATTTAGAATTCTTAGTTAGGGTTCATTTCAAAATTAATTTTCAGATTTATTTGGCTATTTTAAATATGTTGTAATTTGAATAAATTTAACAGTCCAGAGTTCCTAACTTTCAAAGCTTGATCGTCAAGTTCTTAGAATTTGATACCGAAGATTTCTTTTATCTCACGTCTATAGACATCGTGCATATTTTTGTAATGTTTTCTACAATTGGTGAACATTAGAAGTTATTTAATTTCATTATCAAAACAAAATGCCAATAGAATAACGTTTAATAAAGCATATTGTCATTCGTTATTCAAACTTATTTCAAAAATATATTTCCGGTGAGCAGCGTTCCTTTTGAGAAACTGTTTTTCAATGGACCGAAACTTTGATACAAATGACTATACACATGAACCTATTATGTTAGTAGTTCACCAACTTACTTGGTATATCTTTGTACAATACAGTGTACAATTTTGAAACCTGGCGAATAGCACCTACATTTGCACTTGAATTTAACGAAATACCCTTCTGCTCTTCCAGTAATACTACTAATGCCATTGTAATATTAATCACTAAAATCGAATATTTTTAAGTTATCAAACTTAAAAAATAAAATGTTTACATACCTCCAAAATACATATCATTCGAAAAGTAAAATGAAAAAAATGAAATCCTTTTCCAGCAAGATTAGGTACGATTTGTTTGATGCCGAAAACAATTATAGATATTTATAGAAGGTTTTGAATAACCTAAGATTGTAAGTATACACAAAAGAAAATCGAAACAATCCATAAAACATATTCAACTTTAATTCGTATAATTGACTGTAACACCTTACTCAGGAGATTTATAATTGACTGTAACACCTTACTCGGGAGATTTATAATTGACTGTAACACCTTACTCAGGAGATTTATAAACAATTTGAGACCTATAAAAGAATCATCTTTAAACGTAACGACGTTATTAACGTTAAAAATGCTTTTTTATTGTAAAGTAATAACATCGGTTTTCTTTTAAAAGATTCTTAATTTAATTCAGTAGTTAAATTAATATACAAAACGCCTCCTTATTGTAGACTATTCAAATCTCATAACAAACTATTAAAAAAGGATGTAATTTTCATGCATTTTCCCTGTCTGGTTTTTATCTTAATAAGTACACCACTAGAGGCCGCAAATAAAAAATTTATTACTAAAACTTGCACAGAAATGTAACCGTAAACTTACATATTACTTTTCTAAACCTATATATGAAACGTTAGACTATACTCATTGTGAAATTCTCCGTTTGAGCCTTTTTTTTTAACAAATAATGTGTAAATATAATTCAAGATTTTGCATGTCCAAGTAATTTTCTTTAAGTTTATAAACCTATATTATAATAGTTTAAAATTAATTTGTTATACGTTATATCTCTGTGGTGCATATCCTTATATTGTACCCTACACTATAAAATATCTAATAAATTAGGCTAGAGTGAATATGATATACGCTGTCATATTAAACACAAAAACAACTGCAAAACTATATAATCGCTTTATTAAGTAGAATGATAACAAGAAAACTTCAGTAATGCATTGAAAATGTTTAACATACTGAGATTAATCATTGTTAAACAATATTAGAAACGATAAACCACAGATTCTATATTAAAAAGGATGATGATTTAACCTCCTGGCACCATAGTTACGTAAAGTTTCAAAAGTTAACTGATATACTAAAAATATACATGTTTATATAAACAATGCGTCAGCTAAAATAACTCCACATGAGACACGTCAACACCCTTACACAATTTACGATCTCACAGAAACATGATATCGCAGTTAAAACAAAACACATTTCTGTTTGTTTGTAATTGAGCAAAAAGCTACACAATGGGCTACGAAACCCGGTTTCTGACACAAATTTCTGTATCCAACAGTTGCTCCAACCTTGAAGTAAAATCATTGTTTTATCCCAGTGTCTTACATCGTGTTTAAGCCCTGATTTTTTGAATACTACTATGGCATTTGACAGTATATTACACGACAGTCAAGGAGGGAGGAAGAGGTCTGAATAAGACGAGACTCATCCAGACACAGCGCTTGCACCAAACAAATGAAATTAATACAACTGCACACATTAAATCAAGGAGGAATGATTATAATATACGTATATACCAGTTAGAGTTTGAAAAGGTTGAAAATTTTCAAAGTTTGTGATAACTTCATACTCAGTTGGTTTGACTTTATGACCGGGTAATGTTATTTTTATTTTTGTAATGTTTACATAATCATTACGTCGGTTGTAGTTTAGTACACGAGAACGTTTTGTTTTATATGCTTCAGACTTCAAGATGTATATGGGTTACTTTCAGTGGAAAAAATCAAGTTATGCACTTTCAACATCAGTTCATCTTGAAAGAAACGTCATTATTTAGTAGGGATTACAAATATAAATACCAGACGTAAGGGTTACAGAAATATTAAAAAATCATGATAAATGACAGGTCCTCTATACCTGTCCCATTCCTATGAAGACAGACCAATATTAAAAGCACACAAATCCAAGAGTTTATGGTGTAATTTTAATGGTATTGTAAAAGTTTTACACGAGAAGTGTAACCACTTTACACTGATCTTAGAAATATGCTCATTTACACTGCCCCTAGTGGTCTGAGAGCTTATAACGTGACAAATCAGGCTTAGATAGCCACATTAGGCACAGCACAAGATAGCCCATCTTGTAGCTTTGTACTTAACAACAAACAAATAAATCTAATCACTGTACCCACTCACTAATGTTGGTTCGAGAATAAATCGGCACAGTAACCCTTATTGTAGTATTTAGTTTCTCTGTGGAATTCTTGACTGTTATGGGTTTTAATAAAGCTTTAATTCATTATGAAGACTCATATCGCAGGTTTAAAATACTAGATGTACTTCCACAGGGTCCCCGAAAGTGTTCTGTTTCAAGAGTAAATAAAACCAAAATTAAAAGTAACAAATATTTTTATTTTTTGATTTTGATGTTCATATGTTATGTTGTGTTGTAGCCTACAGAGCACATATTTTTTTTCGTGATTCATAGCAAACTCACGTTTTACTGACGTCACGAAAGTACAAATTGCAACGTTACGAGTTCATTATGTGATGTCATTTTAGTGTCTACTGACTGACTGACAGACAACACATTACTATACAGTGGTGCGAATGATTAAAACAGGTGACCCCCTCCAAGCGGCTTTAGGATTAACGAAAGACTGAACTGATGTATCCCACAACTAAACCGTTGATCCAAATGAATTAAACTGTTTAACAAATAGACTTACGATTATATGTACATATGTTATATTTCTAACTAAATTTTACGTATTGTTGAACAGTACACAATGAAAAATCATCTTACTGCTTCAATCAATTTAACTAAAATACAGACAGAACTTCTCACCTTTCAGCAAAATTAGATTCGAAAATAAATCACTTAGGCGACTTTTATACCAAAAACTGAAGAACTGTTGAAAGGAAACATAAACAAGGAATTATTACTGACACTTCTTACGGTCAATATCTAATGTCACTGACATAACCCTTATACTTCACTGATTCTAAAAGTTATCTAAAGACAAATTTTTACTGACATTTCTCCAAGGCAATAATTGAGGTCAATGATAGAACTCCAACACTTAACTGATTCCAAAACGTACACAAAGTTTTCTTACTTTGTCTTCCTACAGCTGTCACTGATATAACCCCAACACTTCATTGATTCTAAAACATACCTAGACATCGTTTTACTGTAACCAGCAGATTTTGATTTAATACCCGAGTAAGTCATGTGCTAATGTCAAACGATGTGCATTATCGGAACGTATAATTAATTTCTGATAAGTTATATGGTTGTCAGTAAGTTGTTACGTGCCTTTATTACTTTTCTTAAGCCTCAATACGTTTACCGAAGCTTTTTATCATTCAGTTCACTGAAAGTCCTGAACAAATTACTGTTAAACAATGAATATATTAAAATCCCCGAGTTCAGTAACGAATTCACTTAGTAAACAATCACAAGCTCCCTTTCATCAAGTGTTTCGTTGCCTACAAAACTACTACATAAAGGAAACTTGAAGAGATATAGAACGAGAACAGATAATTACGTACTTAAGCCGTGCTTTAGAAATAAATGAATCGAATGAAATCGGGAAAGTCAGCACAGTGGAACTGTTTAAACATACTCGAACACTTATACAATGTGACATTACTGCACAGCTAAACATAGTTATCGGTACACAATGGGTCACACAATCTCATGAAAAGTCGCAATTCATTGTAAGTTTGAAATAAACCTTATCATGGGACACTGAAAATCATGGCCAGGTATGTGGAACGGAATATGAAAAGTATTTAAGAAGAAAACCAACATGTTAAAAGGAAGTTGATGCAACGCATGTAGCTAAACTAAAACGGGTATTTAAAGAGAAAAAAGTCTATCAACCCGACATTACAAGAAAAATGTTTACTAACGCTCAAAAACTTATAGATCGGACGAGATCTCATGTGGTTCACCATGAGTCTAGGAATCCATGATTCACGGCTCATTGCTGCAAAAATTCTCGCTCCGCACTTTGAAGCCTTGAGTGTGTTATCAGAGTGATGGTCAAATTGCACTGTTCAATGAAAGAGCCCAAGAGTTGGTAATGAGTGCTGTTAATTAGCTATCTTGTCTCTAGTCTATCAGTAGTTAAAAATATGGCATGACGTGTGTGTGTGTGTTTTATAGCAAAGCCACATCGGGCTATCTGCTGTGTCCACCAAGGAGAATCGAACCCATGATTTTAGTGTTGTAAATCCGTAGACTTACCATTGTCCCACCAGGGGGACTTAGGCATGACAAGCGCAAGCTTATAACCCTTGTGTAGCTTTGCACGAATATCCGAAACAAATAAAACTAGAAACTCATTCTTGTGTATTGTATCAATTCCTTTTCGTTGATTTTGTCTTAGAATCATTCTGCGAACGCAAACTTCATTTAGAAATTTTTAAAAATTATCGTACCCTAAAAATTATTAAAATCACGCCCTATATAAAAAACACGTTATCACATTTTTTTGGTTACCTTCAAAATTTAATCCATGCATAAGAGATTTCCAAGTTTGGCCAAGCGTTACCTGTATTTAAAAGAAAACAAAGAAGTAACAGATGTTTTAACAGTTTACTTTGGATCATTGGAGCATCTCTCTGTACCATTTTTAAAACATTTGTTTTTTGTTCGTTTATTGTTGAATTTTGCTGAAAGCTCCGCAAGGGCTATCTGCACTAGCCGTCCCTACCTTTGAAGTGATAGACTAGAAGGAAAATAGCTAGTGAACACCACCCACTGCCAACTCGTAAGGTAGTTTTTAGCAATGAATAGTGGGATTGGTCATTACGTTATAGCGCCCCAACGGCTGAAAGGGTGAGCATATTCGGCGACAGATTTCGATCTCACAGATTATGAATCGAGTACACCAACCACTAGGTCATGCCAAGCCCAAAACGTATAAGAAAATAAATAGAAGAGCAGGTATTAAAATCTGGTGTAGAATCTGAGGGATATGGTGTTAGAAGGTGTAAGTACTAAAGAAGCGCACAAAAACTTATTTCTTAAAGGGCCTATAAAAGATCGAAACGTCACGTGAAAAAGAAGTCCGAATATCTTTTACTAGGCGATCCTTTATTACCTAATGTCTTGCGAGGGTTGAAAACTGAGTCAGGCCTACTTCCCGTACTTTCCGTTCAAACAAGGTAAACTATATTCCAAACAGGACAACATACTAAGATATCGAAAATAGGATATTTAAAGTTCTTTAAATTTTAAGCTGTAAGAGTGAGAATTTTGACTTGGCAAGTGGTCATCTCAGCTGTGTGTCAAAATAAAAAAAAACGTCGAGCTGACCTACATCTACAAGCTTACCATGATGATGATGAGAGGTGATGATCGTGCCTACCATGATGATGTTGAGCGGTGATAACCATGTTTCGTCAACAAAACTTTTTTTTCAAATCTATTTTTGCAAATCGGTGGGAATCTTAATACAAATTACGTGTCTAGTGATTATTTAGAATCTATGGTACTACAGGTTACGTGTCTAGTGATTATTTAGAAACTATGGCACTACAGGTTACGTGTCTAGTGATTATTTAGAAACTAGGGTACTACAGGTTACGTGTCAAGTGATTATTTAGAAACTAGGGTACTACAGGTTACGTGTCTAGTGATTATTTAGAAACTATGGCACTACAGGTTACGTGTCTAGTGATTATTTAGAATCTATGGTACTACAGGTTACGTGTCTAGTGATTATTTAGAAACTATGGTACTACAGGTTACGTGTCTAGTGATTATTTAGAAACTAGGGTACTACAGGTTACGTGTCTAGTGACTATTTAGACACTATGGTACTACAGGTTACGTGTCTAGGGATTATTTAGAATCTATGGTACTACAGGTTACGTGTCTAGCGATTATTTAGGAACTATGGCACCACAGGACACAGAATACAAGAGGAACGTTTTTCCCTCTTTCTCTGGCGCTTTATGGCTACCTTTGTATCAGATAGGGCCGGTGTTGATACTCAAGTTGCCCAAGATAAGTCAAACTCGAGTTAGTTCGTTGTTTAATGTCACAATGAACAGTTTTTATGGCCACCCCAGTGGAGGTTGCCATCTTCCAATATGTTGCACACGCTGCAGGCAGGCGCCATCTTGAGGTGAATCGAATATTACAGTTCATTGAAATCAAAGTTCAAACAGACGTAGCTACTTTCATATACTTTATATTACAAAAGCACACCAAGTGATTAAAATGCACACTACATACCTGTTTACCAGTAGTATAACAACCCATACCAAACATGATAGACACCAGAATTACCACGACTAAAACGTCATGTGTTTTTTTCAGAATGGGGATGATAGTGTTCGTGCTGTTGGAGCTCTCAGTGTAATTTTCCATGTTGTTGTAAGGCCTAGGAACACTATACAAAGAAAATATAAAGGTTGTTACTCTAGGTTTATTTCAATGTATGAAACATATTAATGTATCACCTGTTGAATCTTACGCCTCTTTATTGGGGAAACAAAAAAAGGTAAATTTTTTTAAAAATGAATTTTGAAAGTTTTGTATATTTACAAATTTTCAAAGATTGTTACAGTTGGACAACTGTAAAACAGCATTTGTTTCAGGAAGAAGTATTCCAAATTTGAGCTAAGTTCTTCAAGGTTTTAACAGATGAACAATATATATAAAACATACTAGAGTCAAGAAATCTTGCGGCATAGAAACAAACCAATTGCAACTACAAACACATCATTCCTGCAAAATAAGGCGTCTTTTAGAAACGAAACAAGATATATTAATCTCTAAAAATGGTCAAGTACATAATACGACGGTTTTTTTTGGCTAACAGTAGCTACATGCTTATAACTTTATACTTGCAGTTAAAAGAACGTAAACATAACTTTGTGTTGATAATAACTGTAGTCTTAGCTTACCGGAGGCTTTTCACAACTTACTGTTGATATGCTCAACACGAATGAGTAATAAAATGATAGCATAAAACGGTATAACATAGATAGCTAGAATTTATTGGTTTCGTTTTTAGAGATAAGAAATAATCATCATAGCAAAATGATGTGATATTTCAATTTCTGTACACACTGTGATTTACACCTACCAGAAACCAACTAGTTTTATCACGAGAAGGTTTAGAAAGAGATACAATTAGCTGTGTGGGAGATAGTTGGACACCCGATTACGGTTCGTTGTTTCGGAAGTTGATCAAGCTGTTCAAAGTTCTTAACATATGTGCACATCTTTTTTAAAGATGCAGATTTTTTATGTAATTGGATTACTACACTAATCTATCTATCAAGTGGAAATATTAATAATCGTTTTTCTTCATAAGTATATTAACTTACTATATGAGACATAAACGTATATGTATACATTTGTAAAGATGTAACATATGCTAGAATTGGATTATTATGTTAATCCATCGATCAAGTGGTAATATAGAGAACTTTTTTCCTAGTGAATTTTTTATTGTGTGAGAAATAAAAAACTCTGAAACAAACACACATCACAAAACCACAGGCGGCAGTTTATAAATGTAAATATCACATAGACTCAGGTGAGTATATGACGTATATATTACACCTAGAAAATTTCAACAATTATTAGTTAAATATTATACCTATATAAATATTGTACTTAATCACTAGGTCAATTAATTGAATTAACATGCTTAGAATAAAGCAAATGAGACGTGAATGACGCTTTCAGTATGTCCTAATTTGTTAACATATGGAGTTTTAGTTGGCACACTACAAAATTTACAAATGAGTTTCATTTACCGATAACTAGTAGAAAAGAGAAATAGTTACTTTTGTGATAACTGAATAGAAGTGACACAATATTAACTATGTCAGATTAGGACAACTGTATTGAACGCATCTCTTTTGGTGAAAAAAACCAACAAAATGCAATCGAATAGAAAACCTAGTATATAACAATTTGTGCATTACAAATATTGATCTCTTTGCATGTACGTGGTATCCGAAAAGTCGGGATTTGCAGCTTTTCTTAATTTCAGCTACGTGACTCAATATGGCGCTGTCAAAACATGATAAGGTCGAGTTAATCCCTCAAACTTATTTCGAATTACAAGAACAGCACATGGAACACATTCAGTAAAATTCGTTGAAGTGCCTACGGTTCCAGACTATTCAGACACCCTGTATAAACACATTTCAATTTTCCTAACAATAAGTCCTCCAGTGGCACAGGGATAAGTCTGCGGACTTATAACACTAAATATCGGTACCCATGGTGGGCACAACACAGATAGCCCATTGTGTAGCTTTGTGCTCAACTACAAACAACCAACCAATCCTAACGATAAACACTGTAGCAAGAGATTTACAATCAATAACCAGAAATAAATATAGAACATGACTCAGTGATTGCAGAAATACAGAAACTGTACAATAACGTATTTTATCTGGCATAAAATGATTTTATGGGGGAAAAAGTTTGGTTAAAGTGATTTTAAGAAACTTAATAAAATGAATTTTAAAACGGGACAAATCTAAACGATTGGTTTGTTTGGAAGTTCGCGCAAAGCTACACGAGGTCTATCAGCGTTAGCCGTCCCTAATATAGCGGTGAAAGACTAGAGGGAAGGCAGCTAGTCATCACCACCCACCGCCAACTCATGGGCTATTCTTTTACCAACGAATAGTGGGATTGACCGTCACATTATAATGCTCTCACGGCTGAAATGGCGGGCATGATAGGTGGGACGGGGATTCGAACTCACAGAGTGCGAGTCCAGCGCCCTAACCATCTAGCCATGCCAGACCAAATGTAAACGAATTATTATTTGAAATATTGATACAAGACTACCACAACGGACTTTAAAAGTTTTGGAGAATACATTAATCCAAAGAAAAACTAAAAATCATAACAGTGAAGATAGATGGTTAAATTCTGGATGAAGAAACGTGATACAAACTTTACATAAATGTCTGAGAACATGAAGTATTACAACGAGAGAAGCTTTAGGGGAATGTAGGGGAACAAAATGAAACCGTCGAGGAGTTTGAGATTAAAATAGGGTTAAGTAGATGTGCACAATTCAGTTTTAAATATCAAACATTCGAGTTACTGTTAAATCTAATCAAAAACACCTTAGGTGTGAAAAAAAGGCACGGCCAAAAAAGGATTGAGACTGCGACTTAAAGGAATGAAATCAAAATTGGCGACCAAACTGGTAGCTACACTTACAACATTGATAAGAATTTTACAGCAAATATTCATTCACTTGAAAACTTTAGCCAGAAACTGCTAGTCTAGTTTGCTTGGCTTAATCAGTATTTAAGTATTTGCACATGCTTTTACCCTATAGATTTACTGCTCTAATTGTTTGTTTGTAGTCAAGCACAAAGCTACACAAAGGGCTATCTGTGCTATGCCCACCACGGGTATCGAAACCCAGTTTCTAGCAGGGTAAGTCCACCGACATACATACCGCAGTGCCACTAGGGGAATGCTGCTCTAAATCAGCCGTCTTTAAACAAAATGATAAAAAACAAGAAAAACGGTTCAACTTTACTCTTAGGTAAAGCTGCAGTAAAAATTTCAGACCGATAGCTCTCGTGACTTTTTGCGTAGGCGTGTGCAAAGATATTGGTCAAAATTGAATGGATTTTGTTGAATAATTTTGCACATGTGTTTTATATTTAGACCAAATTGGGCACCTAATTGTAGGTTGTAAAAATCTATCAGTGTGACAAATTTGAAACAAAAATCCAAGAAAGGTAAGTATGATTTTCTGTCAAATAAAGTTTCCATACTTTCGGTGCGAAGGAAAAAATAGGAAGAAATTCAATCAAAATTGTAGATTTCATATCTTGTGTATTTCTTAATGGATTGCCTTGAAATTTGGTATGTGAATAAGGATCCAGTAGAGCACATCCACTGGAAAGATTGGTAGTTTGGATTACCACAGTCCAAGCTACAGAAAGTGAAAAATTAAACTATTACCCCTGCAGGTCGTTTTGGCCGCACGACAAACTAATGTGTGTCTTGATATTTTTATCAAATGTCCAAATATTTTGTTTTGATTGTCAGATTAAAATATCTAATGATATAATATTTCAATATAAACGGAAACTCATAATGAAGTCCTGAAAGCTATAATTGGGGCAAATTTGAAAATGAAAACTATTTTCAATGTATCGCACCCAACTTTCTGTGATATTTTTCAGTAAATTAGTTCAAGCTCTAAGTATTTTTACTGAAACACAGAACCCTATAACACGATTAAAAAATGATAATATAACTGCAAAGAAAAGTTTGTTCAAAATTAAACACCCAACTAAATAATATTGATTGCCTCATTTTTTTAAAGGTAGCGGCTACCTGGAATAACCACCTTCTGATGTTTACAGCTTGATACCGAAATCCCTGGACTGTACATGACATAGGGTAGCAACGAAAAGAAAGTAAGAATCAATTCACAAATTGAATTTTATTCAACTGTTATGCCTATATTTTTGTTCTACTACCTGTGAACCATAAGGAATGTGTTTTTATCAGTACATAACATATATTATACTATTCATAAAGGAACCAGGAACGTCTCTCGTCACCGAAAATATTCTGGGCTTAAACCTAGCAAACAGCTACAACTCAGAATAATCAAAACACAGTCACAAAGTACTGTATTATAGTTAACTAATAATCCGTGGATCAGCATCGATCCGCAGGCATGTTTTTGTCGGTCCGTAGAAACATACATTTGAAATGAAGAAAAAAAGTAATTGATTTTTTTTAGATACTTGCCAATTAAAGTGAGTAATATACAAGCAAGACAATTATTCATAATCACGTGAAACGTAATTACAATCTATACCGCTATTAGTTGATGAATTACACTGAACTCCTGCTCATCTTGCGAATACAGTAAATTCGAATTATCTTCCACAGTCTTGTCTTGTTTGAAGTTAAGCACAAAGCTACACAATGGGCCATCTGTGCTCTGCCCACCACGGGTATCGAAACCCGGATTCTAGCGTTGTAAGTCCGCAGACATACCGCTGTGCTACTTGAGGGTATCTTCCACGGAGTCAACAGTTTCTTGTAGCTATACCCAATGTGTCCCCCACTGAAGTTTGAAATTCAGTTCACAGTCTAGCGAAGCTAGCAAATAACTATATACGTGTCAGAGTATTAGTAGCTCGCGTCCTTCAAGGTGTTACTGACGCTGCTGATAACAGCGTTTTTCTCATAAACAAATATTCCATACGTAGTTTTCTCAGTGGAGATTTTCATTACGTTTCACTTGAGTACTGCTGATTATTTTGTTTAGTTCCTCAAAGAATCTATTATGATTCAAAATCATAGTTTTTTTTCACTTCTAGTGTCAATAAGGTTACTATTTATAACATGATGTCTTATTGAATTATGGATATACGTGTAGAGGTTTTGCACTTAAGTCAAAAAGTCACGAAGTCTACATTTTATTCTGACATATTGGACGTCAAATACTTATATTAATCTTGAGTAAAAAAAGTACAAAATTGTCTTCTGAAATCATGTTATTTGAGGCTGTAAAATCATCTCAATGCGTAAAGTTTGTT